GAAACCCGGTTTCTAGTGTTGTAAGTCCGCAGACATACCGCTGTGCCACTGGGGGGGGGTGGCATTTAACACATGACATATATTTATTTATGATAAATGTTTATCAGACGTAATTATGAAATGACTTCTACTAGAAGAGCTGCTAAAATCCTACAACGATTATTGAAATTAATAGTAAATAGTCTTAATTATGAGTAAGAATCTGGCCTAGGTCATCAGTTGGGTACCTACGCTGCTAGCGGTGTTTTCGGCATATAACAGAAGATGACTATATATTTCGAAAATGTGTACTGCATAAATTTTATTCCAAAGAAAAGCTTTCTATTTCACAACGGAAAATATTCATTCAATATTCAATGAAATATAAAATACAGGATATATTGCTGAACAAACGTACTCGTAGTCCATTTTGTAGCTTTGTGTGTAACCAAATTTTGGCATTTCGAAAATGTAAACATTCAGTATTTGATCGCTATAAATGTTTATATATTTTAAATACACACGATGTTAAGCCATAACTTATACGTATATATAATTATAAACATTCCTGAACAATATATAACACGCTAATTTGAACTGCCTGAATTATATATATTAGAAATTATTGGTGAGAATATAATCACATGATTATAATTAGATGTACGCTTTTTTTCAATAAACTTATGAATCTTTAATTGGATATTTACTAACAAGAAAAAAAAAGGTTCGTTTTTGCTTGAGCTTTATTTTTTATTCTTTATAAATTTTCTACTTACTACAAATGTGCTCAGGGGTTAAGTGAAAGTAGTAAACTCCATTGTCAGCTTGCGACACAAGATTAGGCTTAACATTATTTTTTCACTCGAGTATTAATTCTAAGTTTAATATATAATTATAGTTTGCTGAACATTTTTCTTAGAACTGGTAAAACATTGACTGTTCAAGTAATCTCACAATATGTTTATTCTTGTATATGCTATACATCATTTTCAAAAACATTCGCAGCTGAAAACCCCTTTTTCATAATGTTTTTCGAAATCCTTTTTAAGCATATTATTCCATTTTAATCTTCTTGAGAAGGAGATTTCAAACAGATGCAAAACACGAAAAGATGTTATAATTTATTAACTTCTTCGTTTTGCAGTCAAAAGTCATATTTTAACAATTTACTGGGACTTGAGTATTTGCTTATATTCTTATAATGTATATTTCTAATGTTTTAATTTGTTTGCTTGCTAGAGGGAGCTGCGGTTCGTAATGATGACGTTAAGACTGAAAAGTTTAATAACGTGAGCCAAGAAATTTCTAAATATTTTGACGTCAGAGTTTCTAATGTATTCGAAGGTAGATTATAAATACGAGGTTCAGTTAAGCGTCGACAAGATAGCAGAGTTGCTCCTAACCGGTAGAGTGAATTAGTTAGTTTTTGTTTTCAGCGGGAAGTTGTATAAGTGAGTTTAATTGTTTTACGTTAGTGCAGTGCAGTTAGAGTAATTTGTAAACGTAGCATATAAGTTACCACAGTGTTCAAGCTAGTAAAAGCATTAAGGAAAAAAAATTGATTTGTCATCTTTCACGTGGATTAGACTTTGAATTATTTTCACAAGATAATCTAAAAGAACCCGCCAACGAAAGAACAACGTCACAAAAATGTTGATTTAGAAACGTTTACTTCTTCAATGGACGATGGGAAACTGTTCTTGTTAACATCATTAGTTTCTTGCAAAGAATATACAGAATTTATAAATTAACGTAGTGATGCTAAGACTTATCTAATGCTGCTTTTTTGTGACAATTCTGACGTTTCTTTGTAACATGATAAGGCCTAATTTGAACTCTGCCGGCTTTAAGACAAAAGTTCAAAAAGTTAGATACTCAGAGATATAAATTAATCAAATAATATTATTTCCAATTTGATGAATTGCAAAGGAATCATCTCTTTAATTCGTGAGTGGAAAAAAGTTTTTAGAAATACATTAATGTTGACAATGGTATCTCGTCTCGCAAGATTCGACTCACAATCTGAGGGTCGCGGGTTCGAATCCCCGTCCTACCAAACACGCTCGTCCTTTCAGCCGTGGGGGCGTTATAATGTGACGGCAAATTCCACCATTCGTTGGTAAAAGAGTAGCTCAACAGTTGGCGGTGATGACTAGCTGCCTTCCCTCTAGTCTTTCACTGCAAAATTAGGGACGACTAGCGCAGATAGCCCTCGTGTAGCTTTGCGCAAAATTAAAAACAAACAAACTTTTCGAACCAAACTAAACTTAAAGCAAAGGCATTTGATAACTAAAACGTCTGTATCCAGCACTTAAGTTCTATCAGATCTCTCCGAGCCTGTATTTTCAATTTCTTTTTTGAAGTATTATTGTTTGCTTTTTTGAAGTTAAGCACAAAACTACACAATGGGCTATTTGTGCTCTGCCCACCATGGATATTGAAACCCGGTTTCTGGCGTTGTAAGTCCGCAGACATACCGCTGTGCCACTGGGGAGCTTGAATTATTAAATCGGAACACTATAATTTATTTTAAATCTACCTCGGTTACATTGTGTACTGATATTTGACTGATGTAGTCAACTAATTTACTCCCCCCCTCAACCTCATCCAAAATAGTAGCCTCAATAACGTTTAAATGATCTTCCAAAACTCACCCACCCACCCACCCCATCGTTAAGAAGGATTCGGTACTTTTTGTTTTCCACAAAATAAGCACTATCTATGGCAATATTTTTCTGTTAACAAAACAAACAAACTCATTTACATACAATGTACACGAAAAAACACCCTTTAGACTTCTGATGGAAATTTCCCACTTGCAATATAATCAACTATAAAAAGATAAACGTTAGAACAAACTGAGCTGGAAACTATAGACACTGGATATATTTCTGTATTTAATCGCTGCCTGGAGTAGAAAAAGTAAGATAGTATGGCCAATACATTATATTAAAAATTAAAAAGAAAAAAGGAAATATTAAACGTGAGATTTTATCAATGCACTTTGTACTGCTGACAGTTGATCCTAATATCTTTTGTTGTTTTTCACTAGATGACGCTAAACGCTCTGTTGGACCTTCAGAGGAAACCCAGGATACTTTTGACGATACGGCATTCGACTGGTCAGCGATTGTTTTCTATAATAGAAATAGTATCAATTTAAATGTTCTATTTAAATCATATAATTCTATGAATAATCTTACCCAGATTCACTAATAGGCTATTCTAAACTGTTACAATATCAAATCTCCCATAGATGATTTAGATCGAGTATTTAGTATTCGTGATAAACAAACAAAATTGAAATAGACAGCAACTGCTTGGTTTAGAGTGGCACTTGTAGAGAAAGTCTTTCTTCTTCCGGTCATCTTGCACTGATTTTGGAGGGATTTGTTTGTATCCAGGAGAATCAAAATGGACGTGACATAATTGGTTGGTTGTCATGGTTTTGTTTATGGGCTGGGATTCTTCTACAGTAGGTCTCTGTGATTTGTTGGCGATAAATTCGATCAATAAACAGAGAGCACATAATCCACTTATTTTAAAATAATATATATATATATATTCAAAACAAGTCAAATGTATGTACAAAAGTTCTTTACACTATAGGATAATATCACAGTTGTATTTAAAACTCTAAATAATTCTTTTTTCTTTCAAAGGTACACTCAGGCTGATTCAATTACTTTAGGATCAAATTGACAAGACGAATTGTTTCTCTACTTTTATCACAATAGTATCAGTGAATAATTCACTTACGTTAGGTTACCACTGTTGTATCCTGAACCTGAAATAATTGTCTCCTTTTCGTCAAAGCCCACACAGACGGGTTCAATAACTTTAGAACACCCTTTGACAAGACAAATTATTCTCCTTATCTCTGTTAAGCTGTGAAACTCACTTTAAAATATCGCTTGTTATGGCTAATGACTCACACGCCGACTAACTTCACGTTTTCTGACTAGTTTCTGACTGAAATTTTACTTTCACTTCACTTTTTCTCTACTTGACTTGCACTCGCTTGGTCGCCTATATTTATTCTTTATTCACTGAAACCTCGAACATTCTATAAACTATGCAAGCGACGCTCTAATGTAACAATGCTCACTTAAGGTAAACGAAAAAATACAGAACCACACACAAGGTATGACTATTACCGAATTTCGCAACCAAACTTGTCATAACTATCGCCTTTAAAATAATTACTTTCAACTCTCCTGTTATGAAAAGTAAATAATCATCAAACATTAAATTACCACTAAACAGTCTCGTATATTCAACACCGGTGGTTTTTGTGATGTGATTAGTAGAACGAGTGATGATTTGACCACTGATAGCCATAAACTGCTGATTTTCAGACTTATATTTAGTGATGGTTTTATCGTCTTGTTGTAGAAAGGTTCTTTGATTTATCTTGTGTTTCACGTGAGTGCTGTTGACTCGCTTCCTTCTCCCTAGTCTATCAGGTCGAAATTAAGGATGCCAATACTTTTAAATCAAGTGTAATTAAACATGAAGATAAATGGTCTATACCGATTTCTTAACTTGAATTCCGAGGACACTGCTTTATCCTGAAAAACAATAACTGGCAGTAATCTATAGTTGGTCCGGCATGGCGCTTGACTCGCAATCTGCGGGTCGCGGGTTCGAATCCCCGTCCCACCAAACATGCTCACCATTTTAGCCGCGAGGGCGTTATAATATGACAGTCAATCCCACTATTCGTTGGTAAAAGAGTAGTCCAAGAGTTGGCGGTGGGTGGTGATGACTAGCTGCCTTCCCTCTAGTCTTACACTACTAAATTAGGGACGGCTAGCGCAGATAGCCCTCGTGTAGCTTTGCGCGAAATTCACTGCATGTATTCACCTTTACATGCAGTTTGGAATCGTGCCCAGCGAAATAATTTATTTTCTTTTTTTTTGGAACGGACGAACAACTTAAAACTTGAAAACACTGCTGTAAGAACGAATGAGAAATTATGAAATAAATAAAAAACTACAGTTGATACCAATTAAATTTTAATAACATTTCTATTGAAGAACTAGAACCCACCTGGTCTAACGTGTTGAGGCAGATAAAACAAGTTAGTACACTTATTTGTTATATCTAATGAGATAATAGTTTAGCAGTATAACCATGGTAACTGGTTATATGTATACACACACACACACACACACGCAAGCATGAAACGTGTATCATGTACACACACGCATTATTGTTGTATCGAATGGTTTATTTAAACATTGTTCCAACCACTACTGTCTTTGTTGTATTCCGGCCGGCCTGCAGGGCTCTAGACTGCACAAAACATGTCGTCGGCAATGGAAATGACAAATATAAGTATGGTTGGAATACTATTATTATACACTCTTCTAATTTTTGAAAATCCTTAAGGGATTAGATAAAAAAATGTAGTGTTTAAAAATGTAATAGGCCTAATACTAATATCTTATGCAGAGGCGTCGGAACCGTTGGTGCTGTAGCACCCCTACTTTTGCATATTTGACTTATATAGCATCTGTAAGTTATATTATTATATTAATTTTCTAAGGTTATGCCCCCACCTACCCCACACCTTCGACTGAGCTGCTTTTAGCAGCTGCTTATACTTTCAATCTCTAATTGTAAAATATGCATGTCTAGACAAGCACCCCACTTTGCATCTCCTTCCTACACCACCGTTATGCCAAATATAATTAGATAAACAGTTGTATCAAGAGCAGATCAAATAAAGTGTTTGTTTTGTTGTAAAGTGGAATATGTAATTTCATTTGGGATCATTCAGCCATTTTGTATCAGTCTTTATTAGTTGGAAGGATTAGATTACAGTCTTTACTAGTTGGAAGGGTTAGATTACAGTCTTTACTAGTTGGAAGGGTTAGATTACAGTCTTTACTAGTTGGAAGGGTTAGACT